ATGTATGCTAAATTCAAATTTGTTACCCTGCCTGTAGACAGAAAGGTCCAAAAAGTTCAAACAACATTCTTTTTCGGCTTCCAGAGTGCATTTTATATTGGGATGGATAGTGTTGATTGAATTTAAAATATTAGAAGCCGTTTATAAGGGCTTCTAAAAATATTACGCGACCTATTATGATCACAAAATAGGACAAATCATTGAAAGATAGAAGTGAAGACGGAAAATGTAAAATAAAATTTTTATCAGAAAATCTTGGTTATTTCGAGTGGCCAAAAAATGAAGATGTCGATATCGTCGCGAAGATGCACATCATATATGGACCAATCGAATTGATTGGTTCTTATCCATTCACAATTACAAGATTTGATGAGCAAGAAATCGAAAAAAAATACAAGAAATTTAAAAGAAATATAAAATGACTTTTCATTAAAATTTTTCTTTATTTTGTGATATATATTTAGTTATGTTTCTGTTTCATTGCTTTTTAGAGTTTTTTTGCTGTTTTTTTGTTTTGTTTAATATAGTTAATTTGTGTTTATTTTTTTTTTTTTCATAATTTGATTACTTGCCGATTTTTTTTAATCTGCACCCCCATATAGATTATTAAACTCTGTCAACATTTAATAACAAGGCAAAAAATGTCATCCACATATCTGTGGTAAATTAGAAAATTTTTATGTTGTGGAATAATGTAGCTGGTTTCTAGATGGTTCATAAAGATATCAACGATTAGAAGAGATAGACCACATCCCATAGCAAGGCCATCCGGTTGTTCATAGGTGATGTTGTTAAAAGTGAGGAAATTTTGTAATAAGCAAAGGTTTAAAAATTGTAAAATGATGGTTGTGTTATTGACAGAAACGTTTGAACTTATCAAAACCTCCCGAACCAAAGGCATGGTCTCGAACCTTGGGACCGACGTGTATAGGTTGCTAACATCGAAAGAAACCATGGTGCAGTTGTCAGGAATGTTGAAGTTTTTGATTTTATTACAAAATTCTAAACTATTACTTACCGAGTTGGATGGTTTGAATTGTGTGAGATCATGAGTTAAGCTGCAAATTAAAGTGGTAATTGTTGCAACTGGAGTGTTGATGAAACTTACAACTGGCCTAATGGGTATGTCCGTCTTAAGGATCTTTGGAAGTCCGTACAAGCGAGGCATGATTGGATTGGATGGTACTATGCAATTTGAAGCTTGAAATTCTGCTCAAAAATCTTTGTTTAACTTAAGTAAGGCTTTAGTTCTTCTCATGAAAATGTTGAAAGGGTTATTAGCCAAGGTATTAAAGTTATTTTTTATCAAAAAGTTATTTACTTTATTTAAGTAGTCAACTTGATTGAGAATTACTAAACAATTGCCTTTATCATATCGAAAGCTGATTTATAAGTCATAAAATATTAAAAAAAAAACCTAAAATATTTTTTTATTTGTAGATTTTCGTAAGTGGGTCGTACAAAAAATATACTGTACAACTCGAGTGAATTGTCCATATCGCATACTGGCGATTTCACATTCCGCCTACGGCGTCGCGCTCAAACTTCATCTTTGTGAAATATGGCCAACATATCCACCACTCTTGTTGCACAAACTACCCCCACATGGATATTAGCTTATCTACACACAGACTACAAAACGAAAAAGTATAGTATTGCGTTTAACTAAACGAATATATTTTATATCCATTTTATGTAATGTGAACATTCCAAAAAAAATGATATTTACAGTTCATATTTCGATCACCCGACGACTCTTATTTCTAAAATTTTAAATAAGTGACAATTCTGTCAAACTATTTGTCAGTATATTTTATAGTTATTGAACTTAAATATACATTAAAATGGCTTAACTTAAATAATAGCATTTTTATTTTTATTTATACTATAATTATAAATAATTTGTTAATTTTAATAAAACTCTATGTAGTCAATTCAATTACGAGTATTAAAAAAATTTCCCAAAGCTGTTAGTGGTTGGGTGGTGAGAGTATCTACCTTCCACGCGAGAAACGCAAGTTCGAGCCTCGGCTGGGGAACTTTTTTTTTCGTTTATTTTATTTTAAAATTATTTATTTTGTCTTAATAACCTTAAATACTTTTTTTATTTATAAATTTTCGTTAGTAAGTCGTAGAAAAAATAATAGTAGTTTGTACAACTTAAGTGGATTGTCCACATCGCACTCAGACGATTGAGTACTCCGCCTACGGCGTCGTTCTCAAATTTCGTCTTCGTGCGATATGGCCATCATATCAACTCTTGTTGCACAAACTACTATTATTATTTAAAAAGAAAAACAAAAATGCATCCCTCATATCTGGTATGCTTATCATTTTACCAACAATTACTATGGAAAGCAGATCTTAGTAACAGCGAACGTTACCGGGCATTGCCGACCCAATTGATACCTTAATAAACTGATATTAGTAAATGATAGTGAGTGAAGATTCTGTGATGAGGACGACGAAACTTCCTTTCACATTCTGTCTGAATCTGTAGCACTCCAAATCAAAGGAACATACTAAATAGAAGGAGGTCATCTACCTATAGGTAACTTGAAGCCTCTTTAAATAATAAATTTCCTTGAGAAGATAGAATTGAAAGGCTCGCGACTATTTTCTTGCTACCTTAGCGATAAAAAGAAGTACGAGAGATCTTTTAGGTTGCAGTGTATTATTAATAACAACACGGAAAGCACACAAACACGTTTTACAGGCGCACTTAATAAATTGCTCATTAGACATAGTAAACAAATCGCACGGTATACAAAACGCACGGTAAACAAATAGCACAGCAAAAACGCACAAAATATATATTACTCAAGATTTACATGTTTACATCTGTATATGTTCTAGGTAAAGTATAGTACGTAATTCGTGCGTAATACACTTTTTACAACGCTTATTAGGCAACGTAATATAAAAATACTTTGTCAAAATGCCAATTTATATTTCGTTTCGTATAAAGACGTCTATTTTTTATTTCTCAATTTTAAAAGAACTAAAACAATTTTAACTTTAAATTTTTGTGTGCTTAAGTGCGACGTACTCTATTTCTTTTCAAGTATTTTTATTATAGTAGGTATTTCACTTTATTTAAAATGTAAGAGGCAGAATTTTAAAACTAAAATCCGTTTACCTATTTGCAAATCAAAATTTATCCAATGGAATCATCCGAACCTCTAGTAATGTGTATAATATATTGCCTATATATCTAGGTACTCTTAGTAAATTATTAATTTGAATAAAACAATTGAATTTGGGGCGAAGGAAGGTGAATGGGTGCAGTGCCTCTTCATTGTCAGCAATGGTTTCATGAGGGCTGCTCGAAATATATCAATTTTTGTGACATGTTCGAAAGGTTGTGTGTCGCAAAAAATAATAAATGTCAGTTTTTCCTAGTTAACCAACTCACCCGTAGTCAGCTGTACTAACTAACACACCCCAGCAAGGTATCAGGTGACGAGAATTGATTTATTTTTTTTCCAAAAATGCGTTTATATTTTTGATATACTGATATTTATATAACTGTTTTGATGTCGAATATATTTTTGTATTTTATTATCTCTTTTTTGTCTAAAGTTATATTAAGTTGAAAAAAAGTTTGCCAGCTCTCCTCGAATTACCCTGCTCAGTAAGCAAAGTTTGGATCAAAGACGACATGAGGCAGGAATGTTCTTTCTACACAAGTTGCTTAATGGCCAGGTGGATTGTGAAGATTTGCTAAAATTAGTCCGTTACTCTGTTCCTTTAAAACGAACACGTCACTTAACCCAACAAACATTGTAACGAGGGCAAAGGTTCGGGCCGTTGCTGGCAAAGCTGGCAAAATGACGATAAACATAATCCAGTAATGGCCGAATGAATATCCAGCGGTAATGGGCCTTTATCTATTTAACTACTAGTGGCCCATTAACGGCAAAAGTTAGTACAGCAGTATAATAAATAACAACGCCCTGTAAATTGGCAATGGCCGAATGTAAAATCGACGTTAATGGGCCTCTCAAATTATATAGTGATGGCCTTTTACCGACAAAAGTTAGTAATTCTTGAAAAGTATTTCCACTTAAAGGCCCAGTAAGTGCCCAGCAACGATAAAAGTTAAAAAAAAATAATGTCGATGAATGATAAATCTATTTTGAATATATTTATTATAGCAAATTATATAAAAATAACAAACATTCTTCGTTTTGAGGTAATTTTGAGTGAAATTACTAGTCATTGGTATAAAGCTAGCTCACAACAATACTGTGGTAAAGGCCAAAATAACGAATTTTATTCAAGAAAAACAAGAAGACGTTTATTTCTTTACGATAACTATCGTCGGCTAAGGTCGTTAATGGTCGATATTCAGCTCAATTTTATGTTTTGCGTCTGTCTCTCTATGATATTAAGAAATTACATACTCGCTATCTATCTCTTGTTGAAAATTTCAAAGAGTCGACTCGATCGACTCAAGGGCTAGAGAACAGCGATCTGTCGGCTACCGGACCAGCGCACAGCGCACAGCGCACAACAACAACAAGGCATCGCCATATTCGCCATCGCATCTCGCATCAACACAACAACAAGCAGAAAGAAAAGAACCCAACGAACGCCATTTTGATGAAAATATATGCTGAACGCTGTGTGTTCTCGTGTAGTCGTGTTTGTTTTCATGTTTTCAAATTAATTTCAAGCCAGAAGATGTCACAGCACACGTCATTTGTAAATAACAAGTAAGTATTTTATATAAATTGATTGAATCTCGACTTATTTCATTATCAGTCCATGGAAAATGTTAATTATAAATGAACTAGTGATAGGATTTATGTGTGTATTTTATGTAAAAATTAAAATAGCAGTTCAGATCAGAAAATGATGAAACATGTCTGTGATTGTGTTTCAACACTCAACTACTGTCGAATTTGGTATTTGTAACTCGTTGGAAAGGCGGGAAAAGTAAGAATTAGGCTAGGAAAATATTAGTTTGAGGGAAAAGTGATTTTTTTTTTATAAAAATGTCGAATATTAAGAAATATAATGCAAGTGCTAAGTATCGAAAAATAAGAAAAGAAATAAAGAATGCAGTACATCTATCAGAAGTAGAGTGTGCTGCAAATAGTAAAAATTTAAAACAAATCTCAGTTCAAACCCAGAACATAGTTCACACTGAGAATATACCTGATATAAATTTACAAAGGGGTGAGGCATGCTGCTCTGGTCGTCTTAGGGTTGTTAATGATGTTGAAGCCGAAGTTCAACAAGTGTTTGAAAGCTCTGATAAATCAGAGGATAGTAGAGGCTTGATTACGTTAAATAAGGCAGAATCAATTGAAAATCATGATAATGATGATGAGGAATCAGATGAAAGTAATATAGCAGAAGCGAATAGGTCAAAGGATTTTCTAAAAAATTGGGCTATACAGAATAATGTTACTCATAGTGCCTTGACAGAATTATTGAAATGGTTCACCACAAATCCAATCATCTCACATTTACCAATATCTGCTAGAACGATTTTAAGTACCCCAAATACTATAAATGTAGAAAAACATTCTAAGGGCGATTTTTATTATTTTGGTTTACAAAATACCTTAACCAAATTTGCTTTAAATTTAAGTTCTGCAAATCCCGGTGTTTTTCATTTAGATTTTGGAATAGTCGGTTTACCGATTCACAATAATAATAATACATCATTTTGGCCAATACTATGCAGACCAAATGTTAATAACAGGACATTGCCTGTTTTTACTGTAGCAATTTTTTGTGGAAAAAGTAAACCATCATTAATAGAATTTTTTGAAAAATTTGTTGATGAAATGTCATATTTGTTAGAAAATGGATTGACCATCAACACACTGTATAAATAATCGGAGAAAAAATTATGTTTCACACGGCAGAGAAACAGATTTACTGACTTGGCTAGTTCCATTGCTTAGACTTCGCCTCAGCAATAAAATGCTAGCCGCGGCAGTAAATCTGTTACTTCTCTGCCTAGTTAAACAAATAACTATGTATTATCTTATATCTAGAAATACCTATGCTGTTAGCTATTAACAATATAAATTGAAATAATACCTAATTTAAATTTTTAAATTTTAGGGATTACAAGAAAAAATAGTCTGTGTCAAGATATCAGTGGACAAGAAGTTGAAACCACGATCAAACTGTGGTTAAGATCAGCAGGTGACCGACAGGGTAGAAGAGAAAAAAGAAGGACTAATTCAACTCAACGCTAATCGAATTTACTCAGCAAACAACTAGTATTTTTATTCTGAATTTAGTTATTTTATTTTTGTTTGATTTACTCAGCAAACAACTAGTATTTATTTTCTGAATTAGGTTTTATTTTTGTTTGATTGTTTGATTTATTCAGCAAACAACTAGTGTTTATTTTCTGCATTTTGATTGTATTTTTGTTTAATTGTTTTACCAATAAAACACTTTCCTCCTAACTTGTGCTATTTTATTGTAGATATGGAAATTATTTACTAAAATGAACATTTAAATTTATTCCTATTCCAAGTTATATAGATGGTTTTGATCATGTCTTATGTTCATATAAATTGTTACTGCAGTAGACCTAATTCCAATGCATAATGAATTTGTTTGTCCAAATTTTAGTTACAGGCACAATAACTTTTGAAAAGTGAAAGGTCAACGGTGTATACCTAATGATTAATCAGGCCACTATTTGCCTTTTGCTTTTCAAGAGTTTGTGTGTCTGTAACGCAAATGTGGACATGCTCTGGGCCATAACACCTTAAAATCTCGAAAGGCCAACAATGGGCCATTGAAGGCCATATAATTTTTTGTGCCTGTTTCCTTAGTCGAGCCAGTTCTAGCCTGCCAGCCATAAGGATTAAAAGGCCAATGGTGGCCATTTGCTGGCCATATCAGTATTGGTGCCCATCATATAACATTGGGCCGGCTGCCGACCAGAGTGTGCATTATTATGCCGGCCTTTCTCAAGTTACCGGTAATTGGCCACTGCTGTTATAAATGGGGAGATAGCATAGGGCCAATGTCAACCCACAGTTATATTGTTTTTTGGGAACCTTATTTCACGTGATAAATCATAGGACTAATTACGACAAAAATTCATTTATGAAAGGATATTAGGTAACTACTAGTCATGTCGCATGTCATGTGACCACCAAATTTTACCGTAGGAATATTTCAATTTTCCGACGTCATCTGATGTGTTTATTTTAAAGTTTTCATATATTTCTAAAAAAAAGCAAAATGTTTCGCGTTTTTTTTTTTATTTTCCCCTCCCTCTGTAATGAAAGAATTTTGGTAAAGAAGCACTTTACCGTAGAAAAATTTCATATTTTCCGATACCATGCTGCAGATAAATTTTAAAACGCGTTTATTTTAAATGGAATTTAAAAAATGGAAAATTTTCGCCGTTTTTTAATTTCCCTCTCCCCTTGTCATAAAAACCCTGCCATGGGATACATCAATAGACGCGCGAGTCGAACATTTTTTCTTATGGTCTTTATGTTGTATCTTTTCTTTTAAGCAACGTTTTTCCCGGAAATGCGATTTACAGAAAATTTCTCCCAATTTTCCTGGGAAATTTATTCGAGATATCGAGAAAATTTTGGTGTCTGATTATGAGGAACGATTTATTGAAATATTTCAATAGAGTAATTTGAAAACGCATTTTCTTTTTAAATTATTCATAATAATCTGAAAAAAGCAAACATTTTCGCGGATTTTTTTTTATTTCCCCCTCCTCCTGTCCTAAAAACCCTCACATGTATTTGGGTATTGGGGTATTTTTGCTCTATATCCTCTTTTAAGCAACGTTTTTCCCGGAAAAGCGTTCAACACAAATTTTCCCCCAATTTTCCTGGGAAATGTGTTTGAGATATCGGGAAAATTATGAATACGTCGAGTAGTAGGTATACTGCAGTTTTTAGTTTTTTCGGAAAATTTGTCGGAAAAGTCGGAACATTCGGAAAATAAAACTATATTTTTTTTATTTTTCCAAACGAAAGGAAATTTCCCGAAACAGATAAATCTACTGTCAAAAAAAGTTGGTCTAGCCGGAAAATTGATGGAAAACCACTTTCCCGAAGAGAAATTTAAAATTGTTCGTCTTAATTCGACAGAGAAAAGTTCAACGTTTTCATAATAGTGAAATTCGATGGGTTCGTTCGGGCCCTACGGGGGCGAATTTCGTAACAGACCCACGGACAGACACACGTATTTAGGTTTTTTTATAATAATAATTTTGCAAATAACAATATTTTTCAAAAATCACCGCCAACTATTGAAACTAACATTAGACTATAGATCTCTTCTTTATCTAAATTTCATTGTTTTTTCGTATTGGAAAAATTTGTATTTGTATTCCATTGTATTTGTTTTTAAATATATTTTTAATCTTTTGATGCAATCATGTTTCCCTTTATAGTTGTATGCTTTTAAATCTATTTTTAATCTTTTGATGCAATTTGTAATTTAATATCTTTGTCTCTACTGTATTTTGCTCTTGCCATGTATCAATTAGATTATATCTATACGAGTATAATACCATTTATTTGATATGTTCGAATACAGTGACTTGCGAACTAACTCTAAAGGTATCATTTGGGAACCCGAGACAGACGACAGCAGTAAGGCAGCAAATATTGCCGTGTTAAAAGTGCTGTCGCGTCTCTTTCATCAGTCGTGCTCTCCCAAATGTGTTTCATTTAATTACATATATTCAGACGTAAAGAGACCGTTTTCGGTCGCCTTACGCCGTCGCTTACTGCTGTTTCCTAGCGCGGTCTCGCCTTTCTAAATGGTCCCATTAACACGGCATTATTTGCTGTCTTGCTGCTGTCGTCTGCCTCTGTCTCGCCTTCCCAAATGGAACTTTTAACAAAGTGGTAACGCGTCAACATTTATCATATACATATAAAACAATAAAATGGCACTCCCTAGAAAAATTTTCTCCTGATTTGTAACCTCGGAAAAAATCTCTAAGCTTTGGAATAATGACAGATGTCATAAATATTATTAATGACGAGTTTTATTGATTAGGGTCCGATTACAATATAAAGAACAGAGCTACGTCATCATTTGTCGAAGTAATTTATTGGCTATCGCCGCCTATTGGGGGTTAAGTGGCGTGTGTTAATATTTTTAGAATTCAGGAAATATTTGTTTATACCCAACAATTTAATTATTTTTTATTTATTGATCGTTATATATAGTATATATTTGAAATTAGAAATAATGCTTATGACGTAGCTGTATTCGTCTTATTGTAATCGGGTTTTACTTAGCCCCAGTTTGTAGTTTTCGTCATTTCTTAGCTAATTTTCTAGTTCTTCCAGATCTATTCCTGACCTTACATTATTTTCATAGAAAGTGTTTATGTTATTCTGGTAACACTGTATTTCAGTTTCAATTCGCCGTCAATATTAACCATATTAATACATTCACAATTATTCAATTAACTTTAAAATTCAACTTTCTTTCTTCATCAATCATTATCCTCTTAAAATCTAGTAAAACAATTATCTTTTAGCAGCTTATTAAAGCAGAAGACATATTACCTACTATAATCATTTGGGCTATACCGTGTATAGTGTATAAAACATAAAATATGTCTAGAATTTTCTGAAGAATCCAAAAATATACAGGGTATTACATTAAAAATAAAAAACTTCGTATTGGCCACTGTTATATGACACACTCTGTATAAAAGTTTTTGTAAAAAAATGTGCAACTAAAAATACCAATTGACGTGTCCGAGCGTTTTACCGAACACGCCTCCATTTGTTTATTACCGAATTTATTCAATTTGGCTGTTCCACACCATATGGTATAAAACATGTATTTTTTCTACATCCACATGGATATTAGTTTATCTGCGCACATATTACAAAACGAAAAAATATGCTATTGCCTTCAACTGAACGAATATATTTTATATCCATTCTAGATAGTGAGAACACTGTAAAAAAATGAAATCCACCAATCACCGTTCATATTTTGCGACTGCTATTATTTTTTAAATTTTAAATAAGTGACAATTCTGTCAAACTAATTGTTAGTATATTTTGTAGTTATTGAGATTAAACATACATTAAAATGGGTTATTCTTGTGTAAAATCGATAAATAATAGCATTTTTTTATTTCGTCTATAATTATAATTGGTTAATTTAAATAAAACTATATGAAGTCAATTTAATTATGAGTACTAAAGCAACAAAAATAAAAGAATAGATGGTTCTGTGGTTAGCGTTTTTGCCTTCCACACTGAAGACTCGAGTTCGATTCTCGGATGGGAAAAAATTAAATGAACTTTTTTCTTTTTTTTTTTTCGTTTATTTTATTTTAAAAATTATTTAAAGTCATAAATGATTTTAAAATAATTTATTTTGTCTTAATCCCCTAAAATATTTTTTTTATTTGTAAATTTTCGTTAGTGGGTCGTAGATAAAATATTCTGTACAACTTGAGTGAATTGTCCACATCGCACTCAGACGATTGAGCACTCCGCCTACGACGTCGTGCTCAAATTTTGTCTTCGTGCGATATGGCCATCATATCCACTCTTGTTGCACAAACTACTATTCTGTTACAAATAATATGTCATTCATAATTGACAGAACACTTTTTACGGTGCGTTATAAAAATTAAGAATGCGAAATTGATATTTCATTCAAAAATACTGAACAAAATAATTGGTCAAGGACGAACAGTTCCATATTAACTACCGCAAATTGGTAAATTCTATAAAATTTTCACATTAAATATTCGTGCCGCATGATACAATTTAAATGGCATAAAACAAAAGAGATGATTACCTAAAGTTATATTATTGCTCACGTGACCCACTTCTTTATATTTAAATGATACTTATAGTACTAAATAGTAGTTACCCAATGTTAAAACAAAATTCTTGTTATAAGAGTGCAGCGTCTGGGAAACAATACATACAATTGAATTGGATAGTTTTACCCACTTGAAAGCAATAAGCAACAGCCAGTTGAATAATTGCGAGAAGTAATAGGGAATTAGTGCAACAAAACACTTAATGAGAAAGTATATTACATCAAATAATATATGGATGCTGTCAAAAAAATCAGTAACAATGTATGGGATATACCTATATTTTCATCAATTTTAGAGCAAATGATTCTATCAGTCATTTATTACTAATAAGGATGATATAACACCCTTTCTATATAACCCTGCTTAATATGTCTTATATAAATTAGCTCCGATACTTTCTAAATTCCGACCTT